CTACTACGCACACGTATTTTTCAACATACTGTCGTGTAAAGGGGCACCACTAGTAATGACACGAAATCCTCCACCTCAGAACCGGTCTCTTGGTCGTGTCTGCGTGCGTGTCATTCCGGTTTTCTACGGCGGATCATGTAATTAAGCCACATACGTATGAAAACTCACCATGCGTCTTGCGTCCACCCTGCATAATGAACACTGACACGTAAGCACTAAGATGCCGTGCCACCCTCGCCGACTTTTTCTCGTTTTTTTGAACGAAAGGCTCGCCAGTAGAGGGATGCAGAGGACCACGCCCCCCTGCAGTAAACCTCCACTACTTCCCTCTTTCTATGCATGCAGTAGCGTCCTATGCCAATCAGAAGGGTGAGATAGGCTTCGACATCGAGTACGCATGGCATTCTTCGATCGCTGGTGATATAGGGACTCCGGCTCGACTTTCGCCTCGCGTCGCGGATTGTCTGCTGGATTGAGAATAATCGGTGAAAACGCTCTAGAACATTCTTATCGATGATTAGCCACGAGTATACAGGGTCAGAATTGCAAAGAAAAAAAAAAAGAAGTGGAACGATAAGGGTCCTCGAGTGGCAAGACAAAGCAAGCCCAAAAGTGGCATGGGCGCATAAAAAGGCCAACGATCCCGTCGCAAACGGCCTCTCATCTTTCTCCCTCCCCCAAGTACGTTTTTTTTCTCCTCATCTGTCCCCGGCACTGTGTCGGTCGACGTGGACGAATTTACTGACATTTCCTCTCTCATAGGCAGTGTTACATCCCACCGTTGGATGTACAGTAACCAACTGAGCAGCTCTCATAACCCACATAGAGGCTATAAGCACACCACCGCCGCGGGACTGATATCGTATTGATTTTCTGCATCTGCCAACGAAGCGAATACCTAGTTCTTTATATCAACCAGTCTTAACGAGAATGGCCCCTCAAACTCCCACTCCCCCCCAGTACACTGGTGTCAACACCCCCAACGATGCAGAAATCCATCCTACCGCTGCGAGGACCGAGCTCCCGATCGTCGTTGAAAGCGAGAGGACCAAGTACACGGATGACTACATCACGTCCACTTTTGACTACCACGGCCAAACCGTCACCAACGAGGATGGTGTGCTTAAAGTCCGCCCTACCAAGAAGACCTTTGAGTTCAGGACCGCCAGGAAGGTCCCCAAGCTCGGGTATGTAGTTTTCCGCTTACTCCGGTTATCGGCATTTGAACTGACGAATGTGTACAGCTTGATGATGGTCGGCTTGGGTGGCAACAACGGCACCACTTTGACCGCTACGATTCTTGCCAACCGTCACAATATCCACTGGCGCACCAAGGAGGGTGTCCAAAAGCCCAACTACATTGGCTCCATTCTCCGCGCTTCCACCCTCCGTCTCGGTGTGGACCCCACGACCGGCTCTGACATCCATGTTCCTCTCTCCAATGTGCTCCCCACCGTTCACCCCAACGACCTCGTCATTGGCGGATGGGACATTTCCGGCGCTCCCCTCGATGCCGCCATGGCTCGCGCCCAGGTCCTCCCCTACGACTTGCAGCGCCAAATCTCTCCCTTGATGGCTCCCATCCACCCTCTTCCCAGTATCTACTACCCTGACTTTATCGCTGCCAACCAGGAGGAACGTGCGGATAACCTTATCCCCGGTACCGACAAGCAAGCCCACCTCGAGCACCTCCGCAAGGATATTCGCGAGTTCAAGGAAACCCACGGATGTGACAGCGTCGTCGTTTTCTGGACCGCCAACACTGAGCGCTATAGCGAGATCATCGAGGGCGTCAACGACACCGCCGACAACCTCTTGAAAGCGATCAAGAACTCGCACGATGAGGTCTCGCCTTCTACCCTCTTTGCTGTCGCTGCTATCCTCGAAGGATGCCCCTTCATCAATGGTGCTCCTCAAAACACTTTCGTTCCTGGTTGCATTCAGCTCGCTGAGCAGCACAAGTCGTTCATTGGTGGTGACGATCTCAAGTCTGGCCAGACCAAAGTCAAGTCTGTCCTCACCGAGTTCTTGGTCAACGCTGGTATCAAGCCCCTTAGCATTGCCAGCTATAACCATCTTGGCAACAATGACGGCAGGAACTTGAGCGCTGAGAAGCAGTTCAAGAGCAAGGAAATTAGCAAGAGTAGCGTTGTTGATGATATGGTTGGCGCCAACCACTTACTCTACAAGCCCAAGGGCGATGGCGAGAAGAAGGGCGAGCACCCCAACCATCTCGTCGTCATCAAGTAAGCGGATTTTTTATATTGACCGAATCCGTATTGACCCGTTTTCTTCTAGGTATATGCCAGCTGTCGGAGACTCCAAGCGTGCCATCGACGAGTACTACAGCGAAATCTGCATGGGCGGCCGCAGCGTCATCAACATCTTCAACGAGTGCGAGGATTCTCTCCTCGCCTCGCCTCTTATCCTCGATCTCTCCATCTTGGCCGAGCTCCTGACCCGTATCGAGTACCGCGAAGTCGGCAAGGAAGCAGAATTCGCTCCTCTATACACCGTTCTCTCTTTGTTGTCCTACATGCTCATGGCTCCTCTCGTCAAGCCTGGCACCGAAGTCGTCAATGCTCTCGGACGCCAGAGGAACGCTCTCGAGCTCTTCATGAAGGCTTGCTTGGGTCTCGAAGGACAAGGCGACCTCTTGTTGGAATCTAGGGTCTGGTAGATGCAAGCGCTGCAGTGTCTCTTGTTTCTCAATCGATAGTGGGAGGGTGGGGCTTCTAATGGTCCTTGCCTGGCTGTTCTTCTTTCGTACTCGTCTTTATACAGTCTTCCCCATACATTTTGGCAGATGTTGTGTGCCGTAGATTTTGTCTCAATATACGGTTACACATAACTGACAGTTGGCCGATCTAAGTTTTGATGAATCAATATTTCCAACTAAGCTCAGTTTATTTTGATGAAGGCCGTCCCGGTTGATTCCAGAACACTTTGAGTATATGCAATGAGACCCTTTGCTCGACATTCGACTATTTGACGTACATGTTCAAGATACCCAATGCTATTCAGAAAACACAAGCCACCGTCTTGAATTAATTGGTCGGAGAGGTGGCAGTGTCAACAAACTACTTTTGATCTTCGACTATGAAGGCGATTTATAGGAGCAGAGTCTGTACTCTGAAA